GCCAACATCTTGAATACTACATACAGATGTGGTCGCCTGATCTCAAAAAAGATGTATTGGCATTGGAAAAGGTTCAGAGAAGGGCAACAAAAATTATTAAGGGTTTGGAACAGGTCCCATATGAAAAGAGATTTAAAAGACTTGGACTTTTCAACTTTGAAAAGAGGAGACTTAAGGCATAATATGATAGAGGTCTATAAAATAATGACAGGTGGAAAAAGTGAATAAGTTATTTACTTGTTCCCATAATATAAGAACTAGGGGTCACCAAATAAAATTAATAGATATTCTCTCACATGCATAGTTGACAACCACTTGTACCATATTCACTCCAGACTTTTCATATCAGGAGCTGTTCTTCACTCAGTGTTTCTATATACTCAGGAGAATGGAGTCAAAATCCATTTTAGGATTTCAGATTGCTACCAGAAGACAAATAATGGGTAAATCACTTACTTCAGGAATGTATTTATGAAGATTAATCTGTGTCTAGCTGAATCTGTCCAAGAGAATGTTAATTTTATTCCATGTGTCTGACAGAGCCCTACCATATAAACTGCCCCAGGGCTAAAAGCACCAGGTTTCCAGGGTCCCCCAATAGCAGCAGTGAAACTGACAAAAATCATGTCAATTTTAGTCAGAAGCTGCTGGGGTCCCAACAAGCATATTTCTTTTCAGTAGCATCGTGACTGGGAGTTTGCAAAATATTTTTTTTTACATTTTCAGTACATGGGAAATTTGAAAAAATATTGTTTTATTCCAAATTGAACTGAAACCCAATTATAATAATTTCCTACAAACTGGAAATTCCAACTTTTTGCCAGCATTACTTATATCACCCCATCATTGTACTATGGAGCCACACTTATGACCATCCATAAAATATTAAAAATAAAAACAATAATCTCTCTTCCTTCACATCCCATAGAACAGAGGCTCTGTGGTCTGCAGCCCGCTAGTGGTTCATGAAAGGCTGGCCATGGGCTTGGGGATCCCCTCACCACAGCGGGGAGCACATGCAGGCATTCCAATCCCAGCTCCTCATGAGGTTGGAGCACCACCACCAGCTTCCTGCTTGGAGGTGGGAAGGGGAGGAAGAGCCTCGCAGCCTTGTTCCAGCCTTCAGTGGAAGGAAATGGCTTTGCACACTGTTGCTCTCCCTTCCCCCAGCTGGGGGGAATGGTAGTGCAGGAAACCGCTTGCCTGGAGGCTTTTCCCTGCTGCTCTCATTGGGTGGGGACCAGTGCCTGAGAGCAACAGGAGGCACAGTAAGTGCCCTCTAACTTCTTGCTGCTGAAACCCCGCATCCTCATCCCACTCCTGCATCCTCCCTCCTGCCCAGACCTTGTACCCCCACCTGCACCCTTCCTCCTGCCCATATCCCCCACCCGCAGCTTGCTTCTGAGCCCAGCCTTCCAGCCAGACCCTGCATTCCCACCTTATTCCTGCACCCAACCTCCTGGCTAGTTCCCCACCTCCAGCCCACTCTTGCACCCATTTTGTCACCATGGGTTGTTGGCTAATGATCTGCAGAAAGGTCTGCATTAAGCAGAGTGAACCACATGTCCAAAAGATTGAGAACTACTGCCATAGAAGAAACAGCTTGATTAGTTTATAGGGATTTTGTTGGTGGTGCTATTGCCATATGAAAAAGGACAGTTATTTACCACCCAGTAACTATATCTTTGAGATCTGCTGTCCATGTGTATTCCAGTTCTGGTATGCCTCTTCCCCTTGCACATTAATTTGGAATTGTTTTAAATAGCAGTGGCTGTTAGGATCATACCTGGATTTACATGCTCTCCAGCACCCGGTAACCAAGAGTATAAAGACCAGTTATCTCGCTAAAACAGACTCCAGCTAAAAAAGATCATTGTATGGAAGGATGGAGGGTCATAAAATTCATGTGTAGAAAGACATGGAGAAATTGGAGAGGGTCCAGAGAAGAGCAACAAGAATGAGTAAAGGTCTAGAGAATATGACCTATGAAGGAAGGCTGAAAAAATTGGGTTTAGAAAAGAGAAGATCAAGGGGGGACATGATAACAGTTTTCAGGTATCTAAAAGGATGTCATAAGGAGGAGGGAGAAAACTTGTTCTTCTTGGCCTCTGAGGATAGAACAAGAAGCAATGGGCTTAAACTGCAGCAAGGGAGGTTTAGGTTGGCCATTAGGAAAAAGTTCCTAACTGTCAGAGTAGTCAAACACTGGAATAAATTGCCCAGGGAGGTTGTGGAATTTCCATTGCTAGAGATATTTAAGAGTAGGTTAGATAAATGTCTATCAGGGATGGTCTAGACAGTATTTGGTCCTTCCATGAGGGCAGGGGACTGGACTCAATGACCTCTTGAGCTCCCTTCCAGTCCTAGTATTCTATGATTCTATGACTCTATGTTAACATCACATCTTGAAGACCCACAGTTATGTTAGGGTAAATATCCATTCCGTCGCGTGATTATCAAAATCTATTCTACTTCTTGTGATTCACGTGCACTAATGCCAATTTTTCAAGGTGGGTAGGCAGAGTCCAATGAATCAAAAATTGCAAGTCAGCCCTGCAAAGCAGGCATAATTTCTGGCTCTCTCTAGCCAGGAGTAGAGATGTGCAAAAATGTGAACTGACCCAAAAATCTCTAGGATTGGAATAACTTTTAGTGAAACTCTAAAGCTTCTTGAAATTTCATTAAAATTGCCCCGATCTGTGTACAGGGCCCAGGTGTCCAAGAGATGAGGAATGTGTCTGATAAGAGCCTTTGCTGGATTCCTTTCTGGAGCTCAACATGTGGCACTTTTTGTTTTGTTCTGGACCATGGCAAACAAGTCTATCCCTGGGTATTCCCATATGGGAGAGATGTCATGTAGAATTGAGTCTTTTACTGTCCCCTCATAATTGTCTGAGTATTGTCTGCTGAGTTGATGTACCAGGGTGTTTTACAATCCTAATAGATATAGGGCCACATTATATCACTTTGATAAGTGGAACCTTCTTTTAGACATTTTGTATGGCCCAAAGCATCTTAGAGTATCACTGAAGTTTAAGATATGGACAGCTCTGGAGCCAACAGCCTTTTTGTGAAGGCTAGTAATGTTGACACTGGCTGCTTGTGTACTACAAGGTCACCTGATACTATGAATCTCTTGGTTACCAAAGGTTACCAAAACAGTCAGCGTTAAGTGTTTTGGTGCTGGTGCGTTGATCTGAGTAGTGAGCCAAAAAGCCTCTTCACCTATCACCATGGTCATCTGGAGACTCTTTGAACCTGGCACTGCCTCCTACTCTGGATTTACTCAGTATTGCAGTGGGAGATCTGTTCTCCTGAGAATCATGTTCCTTCTTTTCTCTTCATAGGAAAGGGTGGACAAAGGGAGGGAAGCTCCCATTGACTCTGGCATTGAGGAGTTAGAGGAGTGAGGTGTTCTTGCCTCCAAAACGAGCTCTGGAGCACAGGGTGGCTCTTCGGCTCACCAGAACAAACACTAAGACAGTCTGGTCAGGATAGGCAGTCTTTTCTTTGGAAACCAAAGAGCTCTATGTAGATCTCTCTAAGGGCATGTCTACACTAGCCCCCTCGTTCAAACTAGGGAGGCTAATGAGGGCGACCGAAATTGCAAATGAAGCGTGGGATTTAAATATCCCACGCTTCATTAGCATGTTCCTAGGCGGTCGCCATTTTGGAAATTGACTAGCCCGGAAGAACTGCTCGCATCTACATGTGGCAGAGAAGGGCAATTCCAAAATAAACCCCTTCTTTGGAATGAGGTTTAACTGGTAATTCAAAGTAAGGGGTTTATTTCGGAATCATCCTTCTCTGCCGTGTGTAAACGTGGGCAGTTCTTCTGGGCTAGTCAATTTCCAAAATGGCGACCGCCTAGGAACATGCTAATGAAGCGTGGGATATTTAAATCCTGTGCTTCATTTGCAATTTCGGTTGCCCTCATTAGCCTCCCTAGTTCGAACTAGGAGGCTAGTGTAGACATACCCTAAAAGGAAGAGCTTTGGATGGAATTCCCTCACTTTTGGGAGCCTTTATAAGGAACAGCATGTAGAGCATTTGTGCAGTACATGTGTTTCAACAAGGCAGAAGATAAAGAGTGTCTATCACTGATGAGAATAACTACCCTAGTGGAAAGACAGGATGTGAATTGTGGAAATTTCGAATCCACCACATCCCAAGGTATCCAGGGCATTTTCTGGACCTGAAGACTTCATTCTATTTTTTAATCTCTACCAGGCTTAAAAAGTAGCAATGTAATTGTACTGACCTAGAGAATGTTCTATACCTAGAACACTAATTACTAACAAATAAACAAGGAAAGAATCACACTGCGAGCAGACACACAGACACTGCATGAATTTGTGAGAATTCTGTCTCACAAGCACAAACAGTAAAAAGAAACTGAAGGGCAGTTGTGGCTGCATATGCCCTCATCTATAGGGACCAGAGGGCATGGAAGGTGTATGTGCAGCCCAAAAAGACATTGCTATCTGCCCGCATGTAGTGCATGCACATCAGAAGCAAAATATAAGCAGAATCGTTCAAAAAAGAATGGGTGTGTCAAACATCTGTATATGTGCACAATTGAAAAAAATGAGGAAAAACTGAATCAAAACAATGTGATCCTATTTTTGAGAATAAAGGAAGTTGTCTGATTACAGCATTCCTATTGCCTATTCTGCCTTGCTGTTTTTCCCTTTGATTTTTTCATAATCGCTGCTCCTTGTTTCCCGCCCTCCTCCTTCCTTTTTTTTCTTTCCCCCTTCTCCTTTTTAATCTATTTCTTTTATTTTGGGTCTGCGCATCCTAAACTCAAAACACATCTGAAGAAGTGGGCTGTGCCCACGAAAGCTCATGATACCATCTACCTGTTTTGTTGGTCTATAAAGTGCTACCAGACCAGTTTTTGTTTTTTAAGTTTATCCTGTACAGACTAACTTGGCTACCTCCTAAAGCTTACAGCATTCCTGACACCTGCGATTTTAGAAAGTAATGCTTCAGGAAATACTTTATTAGATGCCTCAGCAAAGTTGCTAAGTATTAAAGAGAATGAAATACATACTTGTCCCCAATGGTGAGAATTAAGGCACATTGGTGGGAAAGAGAAAGGTGCATGAGTACCATAAACAGGGACTTCTCAGCCTCTTGAAGGCTAAGATCAAGTGTAGTGTCTGTTCTTATCAGTTTAACCAACAGGTACATTAGTCAAGTCAATCCAGCCCCTTCCACAAAACCAAAATTCACTTTAATAAAAAGGTTAAAAAATTAAAAAGAATGAAAAAGGTGAATCATTGTTCAATTACAAAAGCTAGGAAAAAAACCATCACTCTGGGACAAAAAATGGTAACATGCTGATCACTTCACCAGCTTCAGTCTCAATTCTGTCATAAACCCATTTTCTATTACAGCGACACTCTGGTCCACATTTGTTGGAATTGCATTTAGGGCACGGATAGAAGCAACCCAGGCAGTTCTTCTCCAGGCAGTCACACAAATCCATGTTATTACAAAGCAGCCTGCCATGTTTGTCATACTTCTTCATAGTTCTGTTAGAGAAAAAAATAGTGACCCTCAGAGACATGTTCAATGACTGAACTAAGCTAATGAGGAAAAAAATCTGCACAGGAACAACTACAGGTTGGGACCTCCTTGGTCCAGCACCTTCAACCTGAGCAGTCCTGAAGGAGGGAGTTTGCCAGACCAAGGGAGGTCAGACCTACGGGTGTCCCGGGGATTCCCTTCTGGCTGCTGGCCCGGCCAGTGCCTTGCCCCTGGCCTGATGGTGGAGCTCCACTCAGGGCTGCAGCCCTGCTCAGACTGCTGTGGTTCTCTGCTCCCTGGCCAGCAGCAGCTTTGTGCCCCCAGCCACAGAGATTCCCTGCCCCCAGACAGCAGAGCTCTGCTTCCGGCTGCAGGGACACTCTGCTTCCGGATGGCAGTGGCTCTGCTCCCCCGGCCGGCAGAGCTCCATCCCAGTTGCTAGGGTTCCATGGCCCTGGCCAGCACTGGCTCTGTGGCTGCTGCAGGCAGCAGCTTCAGGGCTAGTGGGGCTCATCTCCTGGCTGGCTCCCTGCCCCCAGGCAACTGCCTCTGCAGGCTGTCTGAGCTCCAAGCCCCTGGCAACCTCTCTGGCTGGGGCTCTCTAGTCCAGCAACATCCTTCTGGACCACAGATGTTGCTGTACCAGAGTGTCCCAGACAAAGAAAGTTCAACCTGTACTTCCTTCTGAACACTCTTGCAACATAATGAAATATCAATATAAAATTCTGATAATATTGGATACAGTTACCAAGTAATGTGTGTGCCACAAAAATAAGTCAAACTTCTGGTAAACTAAACTTACTCTGCTAGGGTATGTCTACACTACAGCACTCATTCGAACTAACTTCATTTGAATTAGTTAATTTGAACTAAGCTAAGTCGAACTAGTACATCTAGAGTGACCTAATAACTAGTTCGAATTAGCATTTTGCTAATTCGAACTAGCATGTCCACATTGAGTGGACCCTGAACCGAGGTTAAGGATGGCCGGAAGCAGTGCCAGCAGGGCATCAGATTAGGACTTAGAGCGTGGGGAGCTGCTGCCTCAGGCTAGCTGAGGGCTGTGCTTAAAGGGACCCGATCCCCACCCCGGACAGACAGTTCTCAGGGGTTCCCTGCTCGCTTGTCTAACTCGATGAGGAACAGCAAAGCAGTCCTGGCTTGGAGTGCCCTGAGTGCTTCCGGCACATCACAGCACTCGGCCATCAGCCCGGCTGCACTTGCTGCAGGCTGCCATCCGAGGAGGAGGGTCAATCGGGGGGCTGCAGGAGAGCTTCCACCCCGAGGAGCCCGCATAGCCACCCCAGTCCTCCCCATCGGAGGCTCGTACCCCATTCCTCCCTCACCTCCTTCCACTTACCCTCCCTAACCCCCCTTCCTGATGTACAAAATAAAGGACACGTGTGTTCAAAAATAGAAACTCTCTTTATTAAACTAAACTCAGGGAGACTGGGAAAAGGAAGTGGGAGAGGGGAAGAGAGAGGGTGGGAGAGGGGAGGGCAACTAAAATGATCAGGGGTTTGGAACAGGTCCCATATGAAGAGAGGCTAAAGAGACTGGGACTTTTCAGCTTAGAAAAGAGGAGACTGAGGGGGGATATGATAGAGGTCTATAAAAGCATGAGTGGTGTGGAGAGGGTGCATAAAGAAAAGTTCTTCATTAGTTCCCATAATAGAAGGACTAGAGGACAGCAAATGAAATGAATGGGTAGAAGGCTTCAAACTAATAACAGAAAGTTGTTCTTCACAAAGCTAATAGTCAACCTGTGGAACTCCTTGCTGCAGGAGGCTGTGAAGGCTAGAACTAGAACAGAGTTTAAAGAGAAGTGAGATAAAGTCATGGAGGTTGGGTCCATGGAGTGCTATTAGCCAGGGGGTAGAAATGGTGTCCTGGGCCTCTGTTTGTGGAAGGCTGGAGAGGGATGGCACGAGACAAATGGCTTGGTCACTGTCTTCGGTCCATCCCCTCCAGGGTCCCTAGGGTTGGCC